GAGGTGGCTGAGATAAGTTAATGCAAATTTATCATGTAATGAAAAATGTATACACAAACGGTAACTTGTAGGTTGATGCAAACAACATCTGTTGCATTTAGCTTGCACTGACTGCACTTGAGTTGTCGTGCATTGGCATCCGATTTGTTTAAGCACACTACACTGATGGCCAGGTTTTTTTCATGGCAGGCACCAAAACACATTTCCTGCCTTAACATGTACTGCGTTTTACTGCAGCATGTTCCATTTTCACAAACGGCACATGAATGTGATGCATTGGTTTTTTAACAAATCCTATTTGAAGCAATGCATTTTGGCTTGTTATAACAATGGGTCTGTGTTGAACAATTGCATATCAAAGCAGCCCAATGCATACTGTGTGAATGGGCCTCCATGTGTTAAAAGGCCCTAGTAAATGTCATCAAATTGTTACGTTCAAACTAAATTCTCTGCCTTTTGGAAACCTACCTAAAAAAAAAAAAAAATAATAACTTGCCTACAGAGCATACATTCCCACTGTACACTGTGTGCACAATTATTAGGCAATTTGCATTTTTGAGGAATAATTTAATTATTGAACTACAGTACTCTTGTTCAATCTAAAATGTTAACCACTTGCCCTCCAGAGGATTTACCCCCTTCCTGACCAGGCCTTTTTTTTGTGATATGGCGCTGCGTTAATTTAACTGACAATTGTGCAATCATGCAACGCTGTAAATAAATTAAATTTATGTCATTTTTTTCAGTGGTAATTGATCACCTCTGTTTTTATTCTTTGCACTATAAACAAAAAAAGACCGACAATTTTGAAAAAAAAAAAAAAAAAAAAAAATATTTTTGACTTTTTGCTATAAAACATATCCAATAAAAAAAAAATTTTAAAAATAAATTTCTTCATAAATTTAGGCCAAAATGTATTCTGCTACTTGTCTTTGCTAACAAAAAAAAAAAAAAGAAAAAGCCAAATAAGTGTATATTAATTAGATTATGTGACACTTATAGGAATCGCCAGCTGGGACCCGGTGATTGACATACCCAGCAGCCAATAGTGACGTGGGTAAAGCGGCACGCGCCCCTACCTGGGAATACAAATCACGTATATATAAAACGTGATTCTGTGCAGCCCTGTAGCAGTACGTCTGGTATAGGGCGGAGGGCAAGTGGTTAATAAACCTTAAACCTGAATATTTAGGTAAACATGAGCTTTTGGCTTTCTTAGGAGAATATCTGTGTATGCACAATTATTGGGCAACTATTAGTATGCAGAATTATTATTATGCAGCTAAATGAAAAATTTACTTTTCCCATCTCACTGGTTTATTTTCATCTGTGAAAGTGAGAAGATATAGAAAAAAAATATAATATATATATATATGCAGTGACCAATATAGCCACCCTTTTCAATAAGCCTTCCATTCCTGGAGCCTGTCAGTTTCTTGATCTGTTGATGGACAACAGCCTCCTAGACACTATTCAGAGAGGTGTACGGTTTTCATTCACAGTAAATCTCCTGTTTAAGAAGGGTCCACATATTCTCAATAGGGTTTAGGTCAGGTGAGGAAGGGGGCCATGTCATTATTGTTTCATCTTTAAGACCTTCACTGGCTAACCACGCAGTGCAGTACTTCGATGCATGCAATGGAGCATTGTCCTGCATAAATATCATGGTCTTCGTGAAAGCTGCAGACTGTTTCCTGTACCACTACTTAAAGAAAGTGTCTTCTAAAAAATGGCAGTAGGTTGGGGAGTTGATTTTGAGTTCATCAACCCGAAAAAGGTCCAACTAGTTCATCTTTAATAATACCAGCCGATACCAGTGTAGCAAACATGCACACAGAGATGGACACGGTCATCCATCTTGTTAAGAATCTTCCATGCTGTATCATCTCTACTCCCAAATCAGCTTTCCTCATTCCCCTCCCTCTCTGTTGAGTGACATGTGGTCTGATTGATGCAGATCACAGGCAGCAAACTCCATGGGAGGGCATCATAAATCCCACAACTGAGCTGGGGCCTAGATGTCTGTTAACTTCCGCAATCTGGGCTCATAAAGCCATAAACCAAGTCCTTCACTGAGTTCAAAAGACATTCCAAGGGGTCGTAAAAACAGACTTACATTTAAAAACTCACTTTTTCAATATAAGTTCATATCTTCAAATAGGACAGAATTACCTAAACATGGAGCCCATATTCGGACGGCTCAAGTTAAGACCATTCTCCTGGTATATTACACCCCCTGACATATACCGGAGAACAGAAAAATATATTTCCGTAACCAAACAGATATGTCATATTTCATATCTAACCATTCGGCAGATGCGTCTGCATGTTAATCTACTAGTGGCAAGGCTGCTAAATGCACCGAGAATACGTTATGAACCATAATATGAGCTATGAGAGTTTTTGGTCATAGCTTAGGTCTCCACCTACAACTCCCTCCTCAAATGAGGCGATTGGTTTACTGCTCCAGGGAGACACCCTGTGGAGTTGCTAGAAAAAGCTAAGCTAGGCTGAGTTGAGGTGTGTGAGAGTAGAAGTGAAAGAATTCTCCTTTAACATCGGAACTAAGGTTGGGAGATAAGGCATCCTTTTGGTTCATGAAACATGATCTGCTTAAACCAGGACATTTGGCAAGTACTTTAACCCTCTAAACTCCTGTTATCTCTTTGCTATATATATATATATATATATATATATATATATATATATATATATATATCCTACATCTTTTTCTGAAAATATTTTTATTGCACCCTTTTGACCTTTTAGTAATAAATCTTACTTTCTGAAAGTGTTGAACTGTTTCTACAGCTCTTTAATGCAAACTAAAGCACCCGTCTCTGAAGAACGCTACTGTGTATTTTAAACGTCTGCATACATCTGTCTGCGGTGACATTGTGTATACGATTATTCAAACATCATAGTGTTATTGCTGATATTGCCGAGTTTCCTCTTTCTCTGTACAAAAAGGAGGTGGTGGCAGTGTGAATGGTTAATTGGGTAATTAACCTGACCCAGTAACAATAGCTCTCAGGCTGCAGATACACAGATTGTGGTCCATTAGCTGGAAAATCTGTGTGCAGGGTGCAGCTGGGCGTGGCATTGTTACGCACGTGACAGCGTGGTTTTAGATTGGCTAATCCTTCGGTCACGAGTTTGGTGAGAAGAGCTGGGGTCTGACGCCGCTTTCGTCACAACCAGTTCCCCACCTTCAACTTGCTGGCGTTTTGAGTAGAAGTGGAGCTCTGTGCCTGCTACTGATCCAGCCACAGGCCCATCCATCTTGTCTGTCAAGAGTCACTGACATCTCATCAGTCCATAAAACCTTTGAAAAACCTGTCTTCGGGTATTTCTTGGCCCAGTTTTTAGGTTTCAACTTATGTGTCTTGATCAGTGGTGGTCGGGTTTCAGCCTTTCTTACATTGGCTATATCTCTGAGCACTGGACAACTTGTACTTCCGGGCACTCCAGGTAGGTTGAAGTTCTGGAAAAGGACAGCACTGGATGATAATAGGTTCCTGGTAGCTTCACATTTGATTCTTCTTAAATCTTTGGCAGTTAATTTGCATCTTTTTCACAACACATTTCTTGTGACCCTGTTGACTATTTGCAACAAAACGTTTGATGGTTCTGTGAGCACTCCCCAATATATTAGCAACTTAAAGATTGCTGCATCCCTCTAAAAGAGTTTTTACAATTTTTGACTGTTCAGAGTCAGTTAAATCTTTTTCTTTGGCCTATTTTGCCTGAGGAAAAGAAGCTGCCTAATAATTATGCACACCTTGATATAGGGTGTTGATCTCATTAGGCCACACCCTCCCTCATTACACAAATACACATCACCTGATATGCTTAAATCCAAAAGGCATTCAAGCTCATACAGCTTGGAGTTGGACAATATGCATAAAAATTATGATTTTGTCAAAATCACTTGCCTAATAATTATGTGCAGTGTAGGCTTGATTTACACTTTCTGCTGGTGTTAGGCAGCTTATAGCGGAACTTCACTGCATCAGAGCGCCACAATAAACACGGTTTTATTTTTAATACTGAAAGCCAACTCACTCATCCACCCATGTCTGCATGCTTCATTTTGCCAAGAAATCAAGTTAAAAAACACCCCCTAGCATTTCTGACCATGGCCATCTTGAGTGAGGACAGATGATTTATGTAGCATTTACTTTGTGGAATCCATCTGACCTTAGCTCAGGCATACAGGCAGGAGGGTGTGCTTAGCTAAGAAAACCCCTCCTGAAGACTCCTGATATGTATGACAAAATTTGCCTAGGCATGGAAACCAGGAAGTAACTAAAATGTAAAAAAAAAGTTTAAAACAAGTAAAAATGGTATACTTTCCTATCTATTTACTAATGCTAGCAGCATAAGGATTAAAAACAGTCAATGTTGACTGAGAGTAACGATCTGCTTTAAAATTAAATATTTCAAGTAATTACAGTAACTAAATTGAATTATTTCAAAACTTCTGAATAAACAGATAATTAACCTGTGTTTTGATATATTTGCCTGGAGTGGTTTTTATTTTTTTCCCTACTTTCTCTCAATACACAGGTTTATGTTGTTTGTCGTTGTGTCTACCATCTAGGCCCCAAAAGTACCATTCGATCTCTATGCAATCAGTAAACAGATTTTTTTTTTTTGTATTACTTCTTTTGCTCTGTGATATGAAACAGCACTATTTATGAGACTTTATCCAGGCACCAGCTTTGTGCTGCATCAAACTTAAAAAATAAAATAAAACTGTCACAAGGTAAAAATAGGTAGCTAAAAAAAAGAAAGTTAATGAATTGTGAAGAATTTACATAATGAAAAATGGAAAGAAGTTAGTCACATAAAATAAACATAGGTACTGTTATATACAAATAGATATACAATAGGTACTACGGTTTTAGGAAACCAAATAAATGTGAAGAAGAAAAAAAACACAAGTAAATATGGTATAAAAGAGATCTGAGAATGTAAAGTGACAATGCTTTACTCACCCACTGTGACTGTGCTGTCTGGAACTCAATGCCAAAATAATCTGTCTCCACCACATTCAGATGCATGAACAGTTGGCTCAACAATGCCTGGCCCACAGTCTTTGGCTGAGAAGACAAAAAGACTTGTAAAAATATAGATAGGAGACATTTCTAGTCCTAGAAGTAAAAACTCCAGCTTCATTTAGAAACAGATACACTTTACAATTCTACACAATTCATTTTCAAATTATTAGCAGCTTTACATATCCTAAATGTTCAACATTTCTCTTTGCCTGCATCCATAGCAATACATTATTGCATCGATCAACACCACATGCAAAACTCACTCCATTTGGGATCTGCAGCGGGTGTCAATAGAAAGCTAACAACACATCAAAACGCAGGTCGCAATCGCTCGTGCCCGCACCAGATTGCATGGTATTTTTTGTACAATGCAATCTGGTTGTAGTGTGTTTTAAAAGTAGTGCAGTGCAATTTTAGCCCACTCAAAATGACTGGGGGGCAAACTGTTGGTGCCCCGCTTAGCTGGTGCCTCTGTGACTTAAGTTGCCAAATGATTTATCCGGTGACCCGGAATAAAAAAACTGCTGCAAAAGTGACTGCAGAGCTCAATCTCAGTCCCGTGAAGATTGCAGGGAAAATGTTAGTTATTTGCTAAGTATCCATAATTGAGACAAGCTAACCAATGACACTTGAGAGGAAGGACATAAAACTGTTTTTGGCACCTTTAGATCTTTTGTAGCCAAAGGGACCCATGCAGACTAAAGAGAAAATTAAAGCTTTGGACTATTAAGCGAAGCAGTCTTAGCATCTGGACACAATTCTCTCTGGAATTCAGAAAATTCCCCTACAAATGGAAATAACAGAATTAGCCTGTGAGGCCAGAGAAATTCCACTGTGTTAACCCCATTATGTGCACCAAGACATCCTGCACTGGAATTGAAATCTGCCTAAACCGGACAGTCCATTGAACACTGCACATCAGTGATCCATTAATCAAATGCCAGACTGCATTTTTGTACTAACAGGAAACATCCTCACAAGAAATACAGTTTTGTTATAAAAGGACTGAAATCCCAACCCCACAAACTGTAAACTATCCCATAATTATTAATACTAATGCCATTTCTCTGCAGCATTGTGATGTGATCCCAGGCCGACGTGATGACACATCTTCAAGGAGGCGTGTCCATGAGACTCAAAGGAAGTGGGGGTTGAATGATGCTGGGTGTCATTCAACCTGGAAGAAAACTAAAGCGGACCATACATTATAAGATTTTTGGCCGGAACTCTAACCATGGTTGGCCCTGGCAGCTCATAAAAAGTGGATTGCTCAATCGACTTATTAAAAGTAGAACTGAATGAAAGTTGCCGCTTGTGGCTGTCAAAATACAACAGACTGGCATGGTTAATTCATCTACACATGTAGTTTGTGTGTGGGTAGAGGAATCTGTTAGATCTCCTTTGTTCAGCCAGTAGGCTGAATGAATGAAATCTATTAGGCTACATTCACGCAGCCATAAAAAAAAATGTACCTATGTTATTACACGTGTTTTCGAAGAGAAAAGCTCCTACATAATGACCAGTAAACTACTTGCATATAGATGTGTTTAAACATGTAAAAGACACGTGCACATAATGATAATTTATTTTTCCCTTTATTTAAACCTAATTTACAAATGCAAGGAGTGCATGTTCTTAGTTGCAGATTTTTGTATTCTGTGTTACAGACCTGTATGCAGAGCATGTTTTTATGCACCTGTGTGAATGGCTCCACTGAAAACAATGCAGCTGTGTTAAGATCTGTAATTGTAAAAAAAAAACAAAAAAAAAAAAAAAAAAAAACACTTACAAGTGTTTTTTCAGTCACGTGAATGAAGCCCTAGAAATGGAGGGCATCGCTGGAACATGAAAAGGATGGATTAGTGCTTTTCTTTAATGGAGGGTGTATAAAAGAACATAAACTATCCAAACACAACAAATCAGATTATTTTTATTTTTAAAAAAATTATGCACAATGGAGAATTTTTTAGCACCCTCCCTGGGAGTGCTGGGATCATATGTGAACATCCCACCAGAGGCAGTATCTGTATAAAGCCTGTACTTTGTATAGAGCTGTGTACATTTCCTTCAGGGCCAACTCATTCTCATACAATTCAAGAACACACTGGAAGCTTAGAAAATCGAAATTCAAACCAGCATCTTATTTAAAAAAAAAACAACCGTTTTCATTTACAGTCTCTCACAGAAGTACACCCTTCACATTTTTGTAAATACTTTATTCTATCTTTTCATGTGAAAACACTAAAGAAATTACACTTTGCTACAATGTAAAGTAGTGAGTGTACAGCTTGTGTAACAGTGTAAATTTGCTGTCCCATCAAAATAACACACAGCCATTAATGTCTAAACTGCTGGCAACAAAAGTGAATACACCCCTAAATGAAAATGTCCAAATTGAGCCCAAAGTGTGTCAATATTTTGTGTGGCCACCATTAATTTTCAGCACTGACTTAACCCTCCTGGGCATGGGGTCCACCAGAGCTTCACAGGTTGCCAATGAAGTCCTCTTCCACTCCTTCATGACGACATCACGGAGCTGGTGGATGTTAGACACCTTGCGCTTCTCCACTTTCCGTTTGAGGATTCCCCACAGATGCTCAATAGGGTTTAGGTCTGGAGACATGCTTGGCCAGTCCATCACCTTTACCCTCAGCTTCTTTGAAAGGCAGTGGTTGTCTTGGAGGTGTGTTTTGGGGTCATTATGTTGGAATACTGCCCTGCGGCCCAGTCTCTGAGGAGAGGGGATCATGCTCTGCTTCAGTATGTCACAGTACATGTTGGCATTCATGGTTTCCTCAGTGAACTGTAGCTCCCCAGTGCTGGCAGCACTCATGCAGCCCCAGACCATGACACTCCCACCACCATGCTTGACTGTAGACAAGACACACTTGTCTTTGTACTCCTCACCTGGTTGCCGCCCACACACGCTTGACACCATCTGAACCAAATAAATTTATCTTGGTCTCAGACCACAGGACATGGTTCCAGTAATCCATGTCCTTAGTCTGCTTGTCTTCAGCAAACTGTTTGCAGGCTTTCTTGTGCATCATCTTTAGAAGAGGCTTCCTTCTGGGACGACAGCCATGCAGACCAATTTGATGCAGTAAAGTAAATCCTATGTAAGGGCCCATTCACACCAGAAAGTCCTGCACGTTTTTCCTTGTACCTATGCATGCATTTGGTGCGTATATTTTTCTATCTGCGTTTGTCCTGTGAAGTCACTTCCTTCTTTCTTTGGGCTTCTATGTGCACTGTGATGTGTTGCAGTGCATTTGCAGTACTTTTGCATGTTTGCGGTGTGGAAAAATGTAGCAAGCTGTATTTTTCCACACTAAGCAGTACAAAAAGGTGTCTCTTTTTTCCATTTAAGAACGTTTAAAAAGTACTGGTAAATTTAGTATATTTTTAAACATCGATATACATTTATTGTGTAAACAGAGCTGGTCTTCTATTCTCCTGTTGGGAGCCACCAGGCAAGTCCTTAAAGGGGAGAGTGGATGTAAAGAGCGGAAACGCATAGGATATTGTGATTCCAGTTTATGAGCGCTATTCACTTGTTACAGGGTGACTCAGAGTAGATTGCATAAATCGTATCACATTGCATGGACATTTGTTGGGGACTTTATGAATATTACAGCACTGGTGGAATATATGGTTAGTACACAAGCGCACTATTGAGAAATCTACACGTTTGTTATAATATTATACCTATGCATATGTTTGTTTGCAATGGGCACTGATGTGTATGATATAGGATTAGAATCATCACTTTTTTTTCACAGCGCTACCTCATATCAAAATTGTTTTATTAATTTGGATGTTTTATGGTCGACTTTTTAAAATAATAATAACCCATTTATAACAAAATCTGTAGCCCTCTAGTAAGTGAATTTCCTCCTAACCCTTTACATAATGTGTAGAAAAGACCAGTCTCTCATTGTTTCTCATGTAGAAGTAGAGATCTGATGTGACCTTTCCATGTTATGAAAGCTCATTGAAGAAGCCGTGTGGGTGCAGATTAATGAGTGTGTTCAACCCTGAAAGACTTTTTATGCACACAAGAAGAGGAGAATTGCACAGAAAATTATCTTCAAAATATTAATAAACTAAAAAACAAATGTAAAATGAAAAGCTGCAAGTTGAACAAAGAAAAGGTGCCATCCTGGGACATTTCTTCCTTGCCCGAGACAATGATAAAATTACGTCTTCCTTACAATTTCTGGAGCGTGTACACATGCCTCCTCCACTCTTCAAGGCTTGATGAATCCACACAGGAAGCAATCTAGATTCTTTGTGGCTTCTTATCGAACGCACTGAAACAGTTTGCAACTGCAGCAGGCAGTTTACCTGCTGGAAAGCAATACCAGGGTTTGTATGTATATAGTGAGGCCTGATGAATATAATAATGCATATATATATATATATATATATATATATATATATATATATATATATATATATATATATATAAAATGCAGCAGCAATGGCTGCAGGGTTTTGCTTTATCTCATGAGCTTGTCAAGGGGATGTTAAGGTACTATCATGGTGTGACATACCATGGGTAAACTGGTTAATCAGGAATTTTTTATCCAGAAGAAGGTGTTGAGAACCTTAAGCCCAATTATGGGGCAGATGCCCTCTTGAAACTTCTATTTTCTGGGACAATGTCTATGAACCCTTGAGAGAGGAACTGTGCTAGAGCAGCATGAAGGTCCGCCAGTCTCTGCGGGGGTGTTGGAAAGCTTGACAACATGAAGACAGACTGATAAAAAGCTGAATGTAGCTCTTCCATTCTGGCAACCCACATCACACCTTTCCTGTCAGTTACATTTTGTACTATATTCCCTGCAGATAAAAAAAAACAAAAAAAAAACACACACCTCTACCAATGTACTTGTACATTTTTGAGAAAAGTTGATTTACAAATTTTCATGAGTGTAGGGATAGCTGAATTTGATGGGCACCGGTCCCTCAGAACCTAGTCTTCAACAGCCAAGCCATAAAACCAGGGACCAAGAAGCAGGGCAGCAAACTGGCCCTTT